GTGTCTCAACTTTCTCTCCACAATTTCCCACAGATTCTCTCTGGGGTTCAGGTCAGGAGAGTTGGCAGACCAGTTGAGCCCAGTAATACCATGGTCAGGAAACCATTTACCAGTGGTTTTTGGCACTGTGAGCAGGTGCCAGGTTGTGCTGAAAAATGAAATCTTCATCTCCATAAAGCTTTTCAGCAGATGGAAGCATGAAGTGCTCCAAAATCTCCTGATAGCTGCATTGACCCTGGCCTTGATAAAACTCAGTGGACCAACACCAGCAGCTATGGCACCCCAGACCATCACTGACTGACAACTCTTCTCGTTGTGCAGCGTTTTCTGCCACACTTTTTCCTTCCCACAGACTTCCCACTGAGGTACCTTGACACAGCACTCTGGGAACAGCCTATTGGTTCAGAAATGTCTTTCTGTGTCTTACCCTCTTGCTTGAGGGTGTCAATGATGGCCTTCTGGACAGCAGTCAGGTCAGCAGTCTTACCCATGATTGTGGTTTTGAGTAATGAACCAGGCTGGGAGGTTTTAAAAGCCTCATGAATCTTTTGCAGGTGTTTAGAGTTAATTTGTTGATTCAGATGATTAGGTTAATAAGTCATTTGGAGAACCTTTTCATGGTATGCTAATTTTTTTAGATAGGGATTTTTGGTTTTTCTTTACTTTTTTGCCAAAATCATCAATATTAAAACAATAAAAGGCTTGAACTACTTCAGTTGATGTGCAATGAGTCTAAAATATATGAAAGTTTAATGTTTATCAGTACATAACAGAAAATAATGAACTTTATCACAATATGCTAATTTTTTTGAGAAGGACCCGTATAATAACATTGGAATATTCCCACTTCCCAGTACAACTGGGCTGCAGCAGAAATAGCCGTCAAATATGCAATGAAATGGTGAATTTTATCTGCTATATTTGAAACCTGTGCACCTCCAGCTAGTGGTGGAAGCCCATCATTTCACATGTAAACTAATCAACAAGCATTATGGGAGATGTAGTTTATAGTTAATGCTGACTTTAAAGTGTATCTTACGCAGCCCCCCACCGTGAAAAAAATAACTCCACCCAAGGCGAAATTTGAAAAATGCATCAAAGTGGGTAGGGGAGGGGGTGTGGGTGGGGGAGGGGGATTAGAGAGTGGAGGTGTGGCCAGGACGAGAGAACGTGACAGACAGCTAGCATTAGCATAATTGATGCAACATGGAGAGTGACCACAGCAACGCAGATAGTTACATCTCTGAATGGTCTGAGGTGGAGGATTTTTCACCCCCCTCCTCACCAGAGGCAGAGAGAGACTTGATCAAGTCAGCTCAGTCTGGAACTGACTTGTGTTGGCTCCGTGGATCAGGACATGAAGCTCCAGCAGCCTCGGCTGAGTTCTGTCCGCCTCACACCACACCAGCCCCGGATAGAGGAGGTGGAGTGCTCCGACAGAAAAAATAAAACCATACAGCTGCAGCTGCTCACAAGATCGCTAGTTTAAAACATGAATAAAAGTGTTTGGTCTTGCTTGACTGAAGTTCGGTCCGGTTCGGGCTGTTTCTTCATTTCACAATGATGAGATGATCGCGAACACGCAGCTGCCCCGCTGCTCTGTGGTCTTTCTGCCTTTTTTTTCCCCTCCTTCCCTCCTGCTGTGCAGGACGTACAGCGGGCTGGTGTGTGTGTGGGGGGGGCGCAGCAGTCAGCTCTCCCCACCCGAGGCTGAAGGTCAACAGACGATCATGCTAAGCTTGCTAACAGCTCCACCCTCTGACTGCTGCAGGGGCGTGTCTTAGAGAGAGGCTTTTATACCAGAACACAGCCGCTGTGACGAAACTGTGGAGAAGACACATCACCATGGAGAGCCGTTAACCAATATGCAGATTAGCCTGCAGTACCACTGCTCTACCCATACAGTATGAGCAGCAAAAAGACGTTTTTAGACCAAATATTACAGATTTGAACAAATACGCACAAAAACATCAAAATTAGCACAGAAACAGTACTATATAACATTTTAGACACATTCTAGACAGTTTATCAGTTAAAAAAGTTAATTTTGGGGTAAGTTACTCTTTAAAGCAGCATACGCTTAATTTAAGGTCTGAATATGACCTTACATCTTTGAGGCTCTCACATAAAATGAAGTCACCTTTGGCAAACGGCCCTGGAGTTTGACACATGCAAAAAAGAATTGAACAAATGTAAACCTTTAGTAGCGAAAGGTTGCATGTCTCACCAATGACGAAGCTGCAAAACACTGCAGCTGGAATACCCACAGTGTCCCAGGACACCATGGCAAACAACCAGGAGGAGGCCAGAAGGAGAAAAGCGTTCTCTAAAAACATGACCTGTGAAGAATGAGCAGAAACACATGAGGAAGATCCTTCATGAAAATTATGATAATTAAGTCTTATAAAAGTTTTATTGGAGAACGCAGAATGACTTGTGACATCTGCAGAACACTTTCTTCTATAACACACAACAAAAACAACAGTCCTTTGAACATCATCTATGGGATGTTAAAAAGATCGAGCATGTGTTTTTCTGCATTTTGATTTGCCGCCTTTTGTAGAGAACTCAAAAGTGTGTGATTCGCTCACAGGCACACACATACCAGGTAAAACCCAGCCATGCGGTATCTGGACTGTCCGTACTTCACATTCAGGAAGAGAAAGATGTGAATGGCTCCGAGGACGAGGTTGAAAAATCTCCATCGACTTGTTGAGCGAATGATGTCGGTCTGCTGAGACACCATCCAGAAAGTAGCGCCCAGCCAGTGCACGCCTGAAACAACGCATCAACATGCACAAGTGAGAACTGAAATGGACAGTTTTTAACAAGAACAGAGCTTCAGTTACAGCTTTACTTCACAGAAACCACAATCAACAAATCTGAGCTTTGAGATGAGTCCTGTTGGATCCAGAATTACCGATGACTCCCAGGACCCACTGTTTGAAGATACGTGTGAAGAGCATGAGCACAGCAAACCTGGATCCCAACATGCTGACCTGCAGATAAATCAAACACATCAGTTCTTACAGAAAGTGCCCTCATGTCAAGTTACAGAGTTGTAAAGTAACTAAGTACAAATACTTTGTTACTGTACTTAAGTAGAATTTTTGGGTATCTGTACTTTACTTGATTCTTTTTTTTTCAGCCTACTTTTTACTTCTACTTCTTACATTTCCACAGAATTATCTGTACTTTCTACTCCTTACATTTTAAAAAAAAGGCAAGAAGTAGAAAGTTGTTACTTTTATTTCATTTTTGTTTTCATTCCAGCTTGTTATTGTAAAAAAAAATACTATCCATATAAATTGTGCCTCCTAGATAGAGTGAATTTAACTGTGGTTGAATGAGAAGTATGAATGCATAAAATTCTGATAACGTATTAGTTTGTACACAAACAAATCATGTCACAGTGTAGCAGGACATAATCATTAAAATAAAAGGACTGTACTTAAGAAGTATTTGTATTTCATGAATTATATTATTACATTTGGCCGCAGCCCTCAGAGAGATTTTAATTTTGTGGAAAAGGTTTGTGCAGCCTTGATATATGTATATCAACTGAAACAACTAGACTAGTTCATCCTACATTTAACATAAATTAATTATTTTAATACAATATAGTAATTTCTGCATTTGTTGAGGAGGTCACCTCCTAATAAATGTCATTACAGAAAATACAACTGCTCATTTTAAATCAACACTTTTACTTTTAATGCTTAAGTACAAAAAATATCAGACACTTTAAGACTTTTACTCAAGTAATATTCCTAAAGGAGACTTTAACTTTCACCAAAGTAATTTTTTGGTAAGATACTTGTACTTTTACTCAAGTATCACTTTGTGGTCCTTTAGACAACACTGTCAAGTTAAAAGTAGACATGAATCATCTGTAAGCCTGTTATATTGAGGCAGAGGGTTACTATAAGATTATTTAATGTTCCCCACCCTCCACAGCAGTCGACAGAGAATAGCAGCCGGTGTCATCTGTAAGTGTCCTGGTCTGATGAGGGAACAGGCTCGAGCGTAGAGAACCAACGCCCAGGCCAGAGACAATAAACACACTGCAAAACACACCGAGGCTGCAGAGAGGAGACAGGAGGAGGTGCAGAGATGGAGTGTGAGCACTAAGATCCACTGAAATGACTATTGAACACAAGAGATGGAATAAACTAATTTAAAATGGTTCCTTTTTCACAATAGCTACAACCAGTAGAACTGTTTACACATGAAGCAAACATGGCCTTTCTCTCTTTTTCACAGTTGCATCGTGATTTTCATTAAGATTTCTAATGTTTGTGTTTCTTTTCTTTCTGAGATTAACAAAAAGCTTTGCTTCTTTTGAAACACTAAACGTTTGATACATTTTTATCCAATCATGTTTGAGTGTAAATGCAGTTTTCAGAAAATTCCCTGTTCAAAAGTTCTTGTCTCTTGTACTGATTTCTTCTTTTAACATTGT